TGTTGTCACTGACCCGTCGTTTGAGTCTGCTGCTGCGTCTGCTCTTGTCGCTGAGCTTGTTGACTTTGCTGCTGCCTGTCGTCTAGACTACGCTGCTAGTCTTGTTGCTGAGTCTGAGTCTATCTGTCCTCCGTCCGTCGGGGGTGAGTGTGCCCTTGGCACGGACGTCCTTGAGGACAGGCACGAGGACCTTGAGTGTCTTGCAGCCGCTGCGCCTCATCTCGTGGCCATGCTGCTTGCCCCTGAGGGAGACCCGGATGCTATAGACATCCCCACACCGCGCTCTTACGCTGAGGCGATCGCGGGTCCCTACTCCTCTCAGTGGCAGGCAGCCATGGACGCAGAGATGGCATCCTGGAAGTCCACAGGCACTTACGTCGATGAGGTTCCCCCTCCCGGGGCAAACATCGTCGATGGCATGTGGATTTACAGGGTGAAGCGGCCGCCGGGTTCTCCGCCTGTCTTCAAGGCGCGTTACGTTGCTCGAGGCTTCAGTCAGCGAGAGGGAGTTGACTTCTTCCAGACCTTCTCCCCTACCCCGAAGATGACCACTTTTCGGGTGCTGCTGCACGTTGCCGCTCAGCGTGACTACGAGCTTCACTCTCTTGACTTCAGCACAGCTTTCCTACAGGGCAGCCTGCACGAGGAGATCTGGCTGCGCCGCCCACCTGGCTTCACTGGGACGTTCCCTCCTGGTACCCAGTGGAGCCTCCGCCGGCCAGTCTACGGTCTCCGCCAGGCACCCCGTGAGTGGCACGACACACTGAGGACTACCCTTGCGGCTCTTGGGTTTGCGCCTTCGACTGCTGACCCTTCACTGTTTCTACGCACCGACACTTCGCTGCCGCCGTTCTATATCCTCGTGTACGTCGTCGACTTGGTCTTTGCTACTGCTGACACTGAGGCCCTCGCCCTGGTGAAGTCCGAGCTGCAGAAGAGACACACGTGCACAGACCTGGGTGAGCTGCGCAGCTACCTTGGCTTGCAGATCACCCGGGACCGAGCACGCCGCACCATCACACTGACTCAGTCACACATGGTGCAGCAGGTCCTTCAGCGCTTCGGCTTCACCTGGTCCTCAGCACAGGCCACTCCTCTGGCTATAGGTCACTCGCTCTCAGCTCTGCCTTCGGATGAGTCCGTAGAGCCGAGTGGTCCTTACCCAGAGCTAGTGGGCTGCCTCATGTACCTGATGACTTGCACTCGTCCTGACCTTGCGTACCCTCTTGGCCTTCTGGCTCGCTACGTGGCTCCTGGTCGGCACCGAAAGGTGCACTGGGATGCTGCGAAGAGGGTACTGCGCTACTTGTGCAGTACATTGGGCATGGGGCTCGTGCTTGGAGGACGGCGAGAGGTGGTCCTCACTAGGCACTCAGACGCTTCTTGGGTTGACGACCAGGCTACGCAGCGGTCGTCACAGGGTTACACTTTCAGCCTTGGCTCTGGTTCTGTTTCTTGGCGTTCTACTCGCTCGTCTTTTGTTCTCAGCTCCAGTTGTGAGGCTGAGATCTACGCCACCGCCATGGCTGCTCAGGAGTTACGCTGGCTCACCTACCTGCTGACCGACCTGGGAGAGCGGCCTCGTTCTCCTCCAGTGCTGTACGTCGACAACAAGGCTGCCATTGCCTTGTGTGAGGAGCACAGACTGGAGCACAGAACGAAGCACATCGCTCTGCGGTACTTTCTGGCTCGAGAGCTGCAGCAGCGTGGTCAGCTTCGTCTTGCACACGTGGCCACTCGGGCCAACACTACTGATATATTCACCAAGGCACTTCCGTTTGGTGATCATCAGCGCTTTTGTACTTTGTTAGGCCTTGTGCCTACGTTTCCACACTTGCTGTAGTCTTTTGTGTGTACTGTGCTCTATATTTATACCTGCATGCTTGCTCTTGCTAGGTATTGATCTCTGTATTACTCTTGTTGTTTAAATATATCTCTGCATGTGGACTGGCCTTGCGGCCCTTTGCTTGTGCTCAGAATGTGTGGTGACGTTGAGATCCACCCTGAGCTTGCTTTGCGTCTCTTGACTGGTCGTGTGACCCCTTGTTCTCCCCCACTTTACCTATGGGGGTGTGTCAAACATATATGCTGCATATTGTCTAGGCTGTAGTGGGGTAGCCCATATGGGGTACAACCCAATTAGGGTTTACTACTTGTACTCCTGCATGCTGTTAGTTCACCCATTCCTGCTGCCAGATTCTAACAGTCCCCGCCTCCTTTCCCTTATTTCCCCTCTCCAATCCAACCCTCGTTCCCTTCCCTCCGCCCCCCCGTTTCTCCCTTTTCTTCCCTATTGCTCTCGGTTTCCCCCATTGTGTGCCTTCATTTCCCCCACTGCTACTCCTTTTTTCCCCCCCTTCTTCGCCTCCTTTTCTCCCTGTTGCTTGTCCTCTGTTTTGCCTGTGCCTTTCATCAATCTTCCCCCTGCTTGCACCCTCTCAATCCCCTGCGTTCCCTCCCTTCCCTGTTTCTGTATTCCCACCTTCCCTCACGTGAGTTTTGCTTTGCAGCATCCAACGGCATATTACAGTACGAAACTTTGAGACTACTGAAGCTGCTGTCATGGTAGCCTCTGTTAGTTTTGTGTGTGACGCCGTACAAAAGAACAGTATTCGAATCAGGCGATAATATGTAAACCTTTTAGAACCATATATTTTTTTGGGTGTTGTGAATACACATGATACAAACATGCCGTATCAGCATACAATACAAGCTCAAGCATTTGCTCGAGGCTTGGATATACCATTTTAAATCTGCAAAGCGGTCCCTTTACGCAGTGTAGCTCATTTGTGCCTCTGCGACGCTGAAAGAAGGGGCAAGGGGAGGCGGCACATCCATGCGCCTCGTCTGAACCTTGCCTAGGATGACGAGGGGTGAGGGGATAGGACAGGGAGGGGTGAGAGAGAGGAAAGGACAGGGCGGGGTGAGAGAGAGGAAAGGACAGAGCGGGGTGAGAGAGAGGAAAGGACAGGGCGGGGTGAGAGAGAGGAAAGGACAGAGGAGAAAAACTCCGCTCTTTGTTTCGAAGACCTCACGATCCCCCCTTCCCCCTCCTACCATAGCCAGCCGTAAACCAATCTTTCCCGTCTCCCACTTCCCCTCCTCTCCACTTCCCCTCCTCGCCCTTCCCCACTCAGCCCCATTTTCTCCCTTCTCCCCCCCTCCAGCTCACTCACCCGCAGGCGCGACCCCTCGCGCATGGCCTGCGCCAGCTTGCACAGCACCATGCAGTCTGCCAGCACACGATCCTCACACATCTGACGGGAGGGGAGGAAGCAGAGGGGCAGAAAGGGCACGGTGAGAGGGCAAAAAGGGAAATGTTATGAGTTGTTCAAAACAAGCACTAAGAGGTCTGCGGGTCTTCGCACACGTGGGTGCTGGTGAAAGGGGACACGAAGGGGAACGGGTATGGAGACGAGGGGAAAGGGCGGAGAGGGCAGTGAGGGGGAAGGCTGGGGTTTTCGAGATGCCCCTAGACTAGCTTGTGCTGCAGCATGCTGGCCGCGCGCATGCAGTCCTTGCACCACTGCAGTCTGCAGGAGCAGGTGGGGGTTGAGGAAGGGGGGGGAGAGGGGTAAGGGTGCATGCGATGCCGAGGGGAACGGCGCATGCGACGCCGAGGGGAACGGCGCATGTGACACCGAGGGGAATGGCGCATGCGACGCCGAGGGGAATGGCGCATGCGACACCGAGGGGAGAGGCGAGTCACTCAGGAAGGTAGGAGAGGCGCTGTGATGGCACGAGGGGAGTCAATTCGCTGATAGGGAGATCGTGACAAGGGTGGATAGAGCGCACGTAGGGCAGGGCGCGAAGCAAGGGAGAGAGAGGAGTAGGTTGCAGAAACGAGTAAGCGCGAAAGCGTCGAAGGGACAACGAGAACGTAAGGTGAGCACTACGCGCGACACGCAGACGGAAGAGATCATCTTCCGTCTTCACGTCGCGGTATAAGACGAATTAATGGTGTGAGGGGAGTTACCCCCCGAACTTTGGCGTGTAGCTCATTGTGCAACCCTAAGGCGTTGACGACGATAGCGAAGAGAGGCGTGGCGTCCGGACCTGGTTCGCGCGGGAGTGGGCTGCGTAATGGGGGGCGGGTATAGAACATCGTCCGCCCGATACGAAAGACGCGTGCTGCGTACGCCGTCGCGGCGAAATGCGCGCCTATAATTCTGTGCAATGTCGCCGAAGTAAAACGTATCCTGTGCGGGCGAGATAAACACGGGGCGGCCGAGATAAATTCGATGGCCGTAAACCATAAGATCCCCTCATTTGATGACGGCGTAATTGTGCTACTCTCGCCTGCACTGGAGTGTCTAGTTTGTCGGTTGCCTGCACAAACGCTGTGCGCTAGAGTTGTGGTTGCTAAGCTATTACCTGCTCGCAATATGAGTGTCGTGGTACGAGAGTCAAGCGCCTCATGGTTCACAAACTGCCTGGTTGGGACCCAAGTTCCCAACTCTCAGTTGGCCCGCCGCAATTGACGACGGGGGAGAAACAATCCGCCCAAGTCCGCAACACTCAACTTGTGCATTCGCCGGTCTCCCAACACAAACAGGGTAACCACGTGGAGGCAAGTGATAAACCTTTGCCTCCACCCCCCCCAAAGTGCACCCTTGCTTTAATTGGTGCTGGCGAACACCGCCAATCTGCATGCCGTTCATGTTGGCCCAAAGCAGTCACAACGGAGAACTCTCTCATCATGCCGTTCGAGAGTCCACACCACCCTTGCTGCTTTCGACCACCAATAGGTTCTGCTCTGCTATTTCTTCTCATTCGCCGCGCTTGCAGGGGTGAAACCATTATCCTTTCCTTTCGTTCCTCCGATACAACCCACCTTCGAGCTCGTTTGACCGACATTTACCAGCAGTGCTGCTCTCTCATTACTGCAAGCCCCACTTATCCGCTGCTCAACCCACGACGCCTCCGCTTGAAACCTTCAGACTATCGGTTTTCATAAAAAATAGGAGGTCCGAGCCTGACGGATCAACAGACCAGGCGCCATGCCGAGCCTGATTAGCATCCTCTCCTCTCAGAGCTCCTCGCGCTTCGCCAATGCCCTCAGCAAGGAGACTCGCGTATCAACCACTGAAAATGCGTCCCTCAAGGTTCCCGCGAATCTCGGCCTTTTGTTTGGCCCCGCGGCTCCTAGCGCTTTTCATATGCCCGCTCCGTCGCCCTCTCAACACCACGTTCCCTCGTTCCCGCAGCAATTACAGCACCAGCTGTATCAGCTGCCGCCAATGCCGATCGCGCAGCACTCGATCCCGCGCGAGAGCGATTCTCACGGCATTTCCGCGAATCCCGTCGTTGCGGGCTGCATCTGATTCGCGGCGACGCGTTCGACCTCCGGCTGCAAGACCCGTCGACCATGGCCGTATCACGCGCTGACGTGGCTGGCGACGCGTCGATCTCATCCTCAATTCGCCTAGCGGATCTGATTTCCGAGTATTTTGAAGATTGCGATGAGGAGAGCGACGCGCTCGACGGCTTGACGACGCTTAGAACGGAGCGCAGCGCGCAGGCGCAGTTCCACGAAACAGCATCCTTTCTGCCCGCCATGAATCACGCGCGCTCAAACCTGGGATCGCTAGGCGAGGAGGCGAATCAACGGCTGTCAGCAGATTATTTGGACGGGCAGATGCATCTGACGGAGCAGAATCAAGTTCGCATGGTTCAGGTACCACACCCTCACCTCCACAGATCGCATGCAATTGCCCATCTGTCGTCCTTGCTCGTCTTTGTCCTTTATCTCCGCTTAAAAATGTGAACGACCCGAACTATCAAACCCTTAACCTCGGGGTTCCTGTTTTTTTCCGTGTTTTTTCTCTCTCTTCCTCCGCGCCGCGTATCTCCTCTAGTCGCTTGCAGCCATGGATGGCCCCGTCGAAAGCGCTCTCTACGCTGACGTCATCGCAGCGATGACCGACGCGCGCGCGTGCCACGCGAACGACCTGCGCGGGAGCAGCCTGAACGCGGCGGTCGCAGGGCGACTGCGTGCGATGGGGTACGACGCGGCGGTGTGCACGACGCAGTGGGACACGTCGCTCACCATGCCCGAGGGTGGGTGTCACACGCGAGTGTCGTACGCGGTATCCCCTGCTCCAAGATTTTGCAGGGGTTTTTACTACAAGTTTCACTCATCGCCTCGTACGAGTGCTTTCTTTTCCTGCGCGTGGGACACGTCGCCCGCCATGCCCGAGGGTGAGTGTCACACGTGAGTGTCATGGGGAATCCCCTGCTCTGAGATTTTGCAGGGGTTTTTTAGAATCCTTGAGAACGCAATTCCGGTGTGCGCCACACTCTTCCTCACCCTTCTTCCTCACGTTTCGCCTCGTACGAATGATACATTTTTTGTGCCAGACTGTAAAGTTAAACATCCGCCACTCGTCTCCTGTCTGTGTGTCATCCTCTGCAGGGTCGTACGAGTACATAGACGTTCTCGTCTCCACAAAACCGCTCTCGCGCTTGCCCCCATCCGCGTCCCCCTGTTCCGCCCGCGTCAGTTTTACCTCCCCCGCTCCAGCCTCCCCCTCGCCCACCTTCACCAGAACCACCCCCTCGACCACCGCCCCTCGCCCTTCTCTCCCCCCTTGCGCCGCCTCCTCCGTTTCCGCCGATGGCGCTTCCCCCTCCCCCGCTTCCGCCGACGGCGCTTCCCCCTCCCCCACTTCCGTCACCCCCCAGCGCTTCGTCGTCGACCTTGACTTCCGCGCGCAGTTCCAGATCGCACGGCCCACGCGCGAGCACGCGTCAGTGCTCGAATCCACGCCGTTGATCTTCGTGGGGCGGCAGGAGCGGCTGGCGCGGCTGGTGGAGGTGGTATCTGGTGTGATGAGGGAGGCTTTAAGGGCGCAGGGCATGCACATCCCGCCGTGGCGCAAGGGGGAGTACCTTCATGCCAAGTGGATGGCTGCGGTTAGCCAGAGAGTCGTGTGTGAGGCAAAGGTGGAGGGTGAGGGGGAAGTGGGCAATAGGATGGAGGGCGAGAAGATGGAAACAAGGGGAGCAGTGCGGGGGTATAAAGATACAGGTGCAGTTGGTAGTGCTTGCTATAGTGGCGAGGGCTCTCACACTACAACCGTCGCTACCGTCACATCTGCCACTAGCACAGCTGATTCTGCTGTTGCTGTGAAGCCTGCCCCTGCTGTCAGCACCTTGGCTGCTGCTGCTCTTCCCCCTGCAGCCATTGCTGCTCCAGCTGGAAGCTTCGATGCGTCTTCCGCTCCAGGCATCTCAAGTGCTGTCACCAACGCTCCACGTCACCACCATGACCACCAGCAGCACCAGCAACAGCAGCAGCAGCAGCAGCAGCAAGCAGAGTTTGCGGCGGGCGCCATGGGGGATGCTGTTCTCTTCCAAGGCCATCTCGTTCCCAGGAGGCGCTTTGCTGCCCTCCCCCAGTGCGCGCAAGCAGGGGGCTCCAGGCAGGCAAGCAGGCAGGCCCCATCCGCCAGCAGCAGGCAGGGGGGTGGCCGGCCTCCCTCTAGGAACTGCAGGGTGTGAGCGTTAAGCTGCATGCTTGTGGCTGTGAATGGGAGGTTTTTCATCGCCAGAAGCGACTCATTCTGCCACATGGCTCCTGCTGACCTCTAGCTGTCCAGTTTGGGGTTGCAGGGGACAGGAGGCAGTGCGGTGCTGTCATGTGGGTGCACGACTTATGAGGCGCCTCAAATGGGAGTGGCGCGCAGTCATGTAATTTTGACGCATGATGCAATTTTGACGGTGAACCAGCCAGCCTGATGCATTTTCAGGCTGCTGCAATTTTGTCTCCAGCTTCTGATGAGCCCACCAGAGCTGCCAATTTGGACTCCAAATTTCCACTAGGATTTGGCAATGTTGTGTCAGTTCAGAGCTTGTACGGTATCTACGTATATTTCGATAAAATACAATTTTGAAATTCGGCACTCATGGTCTAGGAAGGTCTGGTATGGTAAACAAAGCCATGTATTTTGATAAACTAGTACCATATCATCATTGTTGGGCTGAGAAAAGCCCTTAGGATCTTTGCAGGGGTAAATTCGGGGTAGGACAATTGTAATAGCGGAAGCGTTTAATGAAGAAGTTGTGAACCACCTTGCGCTAGTATGTGAGGGCAAAGTACCGTCATACCCCGGATATACCCCCATGGGGGGCACTAATAAAACAGGTTTTTTTTAGGGGGGTGGGCTTATAATCGAGTAAATTTATAAGCGCCGGCGTTTATAAAATGACATATATATATTTTAAAGTTTTTAACACCCAACTGTAGATCTCGTGCTTGCTTTTTCAATCGAGTCGAAGTTACATGGGGTCGTCTGTGCTTTTTCTCGCGCGCGCTGGGAGATACACTCAATCTGACTCACATTCAGGTCCTGACAGCTCCTGCTGACTGGATCCGCATCCAGTGCAGGCTCCGAATGTGAAGGGAAGCGAAACTGCAACACATCCCCCTGCTAAAGTCAAAATCGTTACAGTGTTTTGCACACATTTTGAAATTTAAAGTTTACGTGCGCTTATAATAAAACAAGTTTTTTTCAGGGGGTGCGCTTATAATCTAGCACCGGATATAAGCGCCACACGCCAATTAAAAGCGCCAGGCGCTTATCCGCGGGTGGCGCTTATATCCGGGGTATGACGGTAAGTTGATTAAAGCAAAGAGATACAAGCATTTATATATGAGTACAAGGAATATGAAAGGATACGGTTATAACTGCTTTACTGTTGCTGTTGCGGTTCGATACAGTGACGACTCGGGCAACTGCTCTGTAGCGAGTCAGTTGTGTGTCCTTGCTGTCGTGCTGTACTTGTCAGGTCAAAGGTCGCTGACCTTTGACTTTTGCGTAACCTCCAGCAACCTCTTTCTGTCAAAATGCTAGGCCAAAACGAGAAACAGGCAAGAAGGGTTTTGACTAACAAGCATAGGGATACATATATGCAAACCCTAGAAGGGCTGTACTCGCTATAGAGTACCCCACTGCAGGCTAGACAACCATCACATTCTGACACACCCCCATAGTCAAAGTGGGGTACAATCAACATAACAAGCAGACAGAGCAATAGTTCACAATTATAAGCAAAGCTAGAGGCTATCATAGAGGGCAAGTGAGGAGGAGGAGAAACTGTGGGAGCAAGAAGATGAGAGGCGACGGCTGAAGCTGCAGACACACAGGCAGCAGGAGTACGCCGCACTGACGCTACCAGGCTAAACCCGGACTACACGGCGACAGGGGGTCGCAGCTGGCTCGCTGTGCTCCCAGGAGTGCACACACTGTAGCTACCGGGCGCAGAGCCCCGGACTACTCAGGCCACAAGTGGTCGTGGCTCCCTGGACTTCAGGCGCTGCGGACGACAAGTCGACGGCCTCCTCTCAACTTCCCCCAGCTGTCCCACCCCCTTTTTACACACCCCCTGCTGTTCCCCTAGCACCGCTCACACTACACCCCCTAGCGCCACTCCCTCGGCTCCCACACACCCACCCCCCTCAGCGGCAGCTGCAGCAGTGGGAGACGGAGAAGGAGGAGGAGGAGGGGAACGGCACTCAGTGGCTTCACCCCCATACCCCTCACCCCCAAACCCTAATTCAGGAGAACGGGCTGTAGGAGGGGTGGGGCGCCAGTAGAAGCACGGGGGACAGTGGGGAGGGCAGGGGCAGCGAGGAACGGGCCGCCCACGGGCCTGGCATAGCCGCCCGAACCGCGCGCAGGCGGCCCGAGCCGCGCGCGGGCCTGGCGCTTCCCGTACGGGCCGCGCGCGGGCCTGGCGCAGCCCGTACGGGCCGCGCGCCGGCTGTACGGGCCGCGCGCAGGCCACGACGGGCGACGGGGGGCGACGCGCGGGTCCCCGTCGCCCGTCGCAGCGCCTCCCGGGGGCGACGCGCCGAGTGACGGGGCAGAAAACCGCCGCGCGCCCCGGGCGCGCGGCGGGAAGAAAAAATCGCTGCGCGCCCGGAGCGCGCGGCAGGCAGGAAACAGCAGGAAACAACAGCGGAAGCTTCTGGTGGGACCACCCACAGGATCGACCCAGGAGGGTCGACCCGCTCTGATAGCATGTCAAAATGCTAGGCCAAAACGAGAAACAGGCAAGAAGGGTTTTGACTAACAAGCATAGGGATACATATATGCAAACCCTAGAAGGGCTGTACTCGCTATAGAGTACCCCACTGCAGGCTAGACAACCATCACATTCTGACACTTTCAACCTCCGAGGGTTGACTCGCGTGTCGTGATAGTAGGTATACTGAGGAGCCATAGCTAGGGTTGACCTAGCTAGGCAAGAGAGAATGAAGGCAAAAGAGAGGGACTGAACTAGCAAGAATGGGGATACAAATAGCAAACCCTAGAAGGGTTGTACTCGCTACAGAGCACCCCACTACAGGCTAGAGCATAATATTCTGACACACCCCCATAGCCAAAGTGGGGTGTAATCAGCAGAGGAAACAAAGCAGTACAAGCTCAGGGTGGATCACGATGTCACCACACATTCTGAGCACAAGCAAGAAGCAATAGTTTAAGGTGCACAATTATGAGCAAAGCTAGAGGCAGTCACAAAAGGGGCAAGTGAGGAGGAGGAGGCGAGACTGTAGGTGGAGAGGAGATAAGAGGCGTCGGCTGAAGCTGCAGACACACGGGCAACAGGAGTCAAACTGGCTCAGTGGCTACCGGAACAAGCGCCCCGGACTACAGGAGTAACTGGCTCCGCGGCTAAGAAGAGCGGCAGACGAGCAACGGACCCACGGGCGACTGGCGCAGCTGGCTACGACTGGGCTACCGGAACAAGCGCCCCGGACTACAGGTGCTGCTGACGACAAGACGGCAGCCTCCGCTCAACCTCCCCCGACTGTCCCACCCCCCTCTCACACACCCCCTGCTGGAACCCTAGCTCCACTCCGACGGTACCCCCCTTAGACCCCAAACCCTAGGCTCCCACACACCACCCCCCTCAGCGGCAGCTGTAGCAGAGGGAGACGAGGGAGGAGGAGGAGCAGGGAACGGCACACTGAAGCTGCACCCCCATACCCCCCACCCCAAACCCTAATCCAGGAGAACGGGCAGAAGGAGGGGTGGGGCGCCTTCAGAAGCACGGGGGACAGCGGGGAGGACAGGGGAAGCGAAGAACGGGCCGCCCACGGGCCTGGCACCGCCTCCCGAACCGCGCGCAGGCGGTCCGAGCCGCGCGCGGGCCTGGCGCAGCCCGTACGGGCCGCGCGCGTGCCTGGCGCAGCCCGTACGGGCCGCGCGCGGGCCTGGCGCAGCCCGTACGGGCCGCGCGCGGGCCTGGCGCAGCCCGTACGGGCCGCGCGCGGGCCTGGCGCAGCCCGTACGGGCCGCGCGCAGGCCTGGCGCAGCCCGTACGGGCCGCGTGCCGGGTGTACGGGCCGCGTGCAGGCCACGACGGGCGACGGGGGGCGACGCGCGGGTCCCCGTCGCCCGTCGCAGCGCCTCCCGGGGGCGACGTGCCGAGTGACGGGGCAGGAACCCGTCGCGCGCCTCGGGGCACACGGCGGGCAGAAAACCGCCGCGCGCCTCGGGGCGCACGGCGGGCAGAAAACCGCCGCGCGCCTCGGGGCGCACGGCGGGCTGAAAACCCTAGTTTCGACGCCGCGCACCACGGGGCGCGCGGCGGACAGGGAGTAGCAGTAGCAGCGGAAGCAGTGAAGTGGGCCCACAGGCCAGGAACGTTAAGCTCTGATACCATGTCGTGATAGTAGGTATACTGAGGAGCCATAGCTAGGGTTGACCTAGCTAGGCAAGAGAGAATGAAGGCAAAAGAGAGGGACTGAACTAGCAAGAATGGGGATACAAATAGCAAACCCTAGAAGGGTTGTACTCGCTACAGAGCACCCCACTACAGGCTAGAGCATAATATTCTGACATCGCGTGTGCCTCAATATAGTTCGCTTCGCTTCTGGTGCGATGTTTCGACACGACAGAGGCGCTTAAGATTCACTGTTTCCAACACTCCCCTTCGCTTCTGGAGTGTCGCAGCTGATGACGTGGCTTTGTCCAGTCAGCAGCATGCAATACTCAAACTTCTGCTTTCCGAG